AGGAGCACTGGACTGAGCTCCCAAGGTCCCAAGGAGGAGCAGAAGGAGGGAGAACATGAGCAAAGAATTCGGGACCACGAGGCGTGCATCCACCCTCTGAGACAGTGGAGCTGATCTATTGGGAGCTCACCAAGGCCAGCTGGACTGTGACCGAAAAAGCATGGGATAAAACCGGACTCTCTGAACATGGCGAACAATGAGGGCTGATGAGACACCAAGGACAATGGCAGGGGGTTTTGATCCTACTTAATGTGCTGGCTTTGTGGGAGCCTAGCCAGTTTGGATGTTCACCTTCCTAGATATGGACGGAGAGGGGAGGACCTAGGACTTAACACAGGGCAGGGAACCCGGACTGCTCTGTGGACTGGAGAGGGAGGGGGAGAGGAGTGGGGGGAGGGGGAGAAGGGTGGGAGGAGGGGGGGAAGGGTGGGAGGAGGGGGAGAAGGGTGGGAGGAAGGGAAGGGAAATGGGAGGCTGGGAGGAGGTGGAAACTTGTTTTTTGTTTATGTTTTTTTTTCTTCTTTTCGCAATAAAAAAAAAAAAGAGGTCAATGAAAAAAAAAAAAAGACAATAGAACCCTAACTAAGACAGTGGTGGTTTGTTTTATTTGTTGAAGTGCTGACCGTGACTGCAGGAAGGGTCCTGATGCAGAATAACATATCCACTGGTGAGGGTGAGAGTCATGCTCACTGCCGGGGCCTCATTTATGCGGATTCAGAACCAGGAAGTGAAAATGCACACAGATAGATAGTTTAGTTTTGTCCACAGGTCAGGTGTACCCAGAATCCCCATACTGTAAAGATTCATGGTGAAGAAGGAAACCCGGGAGTTGGCCCACCTCTCTTTTCCTCAGGCTGCCGGGAAGATGGCAGACATTCAGACCGAATGAGCGTACCAAAAGCAGCCCACGATCTTCCAAAACAAGAAGCGTGTTCTGCTTGGAGAAACTGGCAAGGAAAAACTCCCTCGGTACTACAAGAACATCGGTCTAGGCTTCAAGACACCCAAGGAGGCCATCGAGGGCACCTACAATTGACAAGAAATGCCCGTTCACTGGCAACGTCTCCATCCAAGGTCAGATCCTGTCCGGTGTCGTGACCAAGATGAAGATGCAGAGGACCATTGTCATCCGCCGGGACTATCTTTATTACATCCGAAAGTACAATCGCTTTGAGAAACGCCACAAGAACATGTCTGTGCACCTGTCCCCCTGTTTCAGGGATGTACAGATCGGCGACATCGTCACTGGGGGAGAGTGTAGGCTCCTGAGCAAGACTGTGTGTTTCAATGTGCTCAACGTCACCAAGGCTGCTGGCACCAAGAAACAGTTCCTAAAGTTCTTACCTGGAACAAATAAAGTTATTTTCTGGCTATAAAAAAAAAAGATTCATGTGACCCCCAGTGACTTCTTCAAATCATGTGCTGACCAAATTGTATGGGTCCTGGTTAGGCTGATGTCTCCTAGGAGAGCACTGAGCTATAGCCAGGCCTGGAGACTGACTTGTCTATGTACCGTGTCAAGGACACAAACAGATCACGCTGTTTTCACTAGTGGCAGAAGCTCTTGGAAACAAGCCTGCTTTAGCCTGTGGAAAGGAGGTGGCTGAAGAATTCTACTTCTCACCAGTGTTACTGAAGAACATGAATGTAGATGCTGGCCACAGTTTATTTGTGCAAGAAATGACCTTCATTGTAATATAATATAAAGTGTTGTTGTTTTTTGAGACAGGATCTTTATAGGTAGCCCTGGCTGTCCTGGAACTCACTGTGTAGACCAGGCTAGCTTTGAACTCACAGATACCTGCCTGCCTCTGCCTCCAGAGTGCTGGGTTTAAGGTGTATGTCACCATGCCTGGCAAAGGTTGTTATTTTTATATTATGAAATTTCTCACAGGCTACTCTGCCCAAATCCCAGATACACTCAGTATAGTTATTCTGTCCAAAGAGAACATTTTAGCCTGGTATGACTTTTAAAAATATCTCCCTGGTGATATGCAAGATATTCATCAGTGTGGCTATAGGATAGGGCCATTTCAGGCTCCCTCTCCTCAGCTACCCAAGGATCTAGCTGGGGACATCCCCATGGACACCTGGCGATGGATGAAGCTAGAGACAGAGACCCACATTTGGGCACTGGACCGAGCTCCCAAGGTCCAAATGAGGAGCAGAAGGAGGGAGAACATGAGCAAGGAAGTCAGGACCGCAAGGGGTGCGCCCACCCACTGAGAGGGTGGGGCTGATCTAATGGGAGCTCACCAAAGCAAGCTGGACTGGGACTGATGGAGCATGTGATCAAACTGGACTCTCTGAATGTGTCGGACAAGGAGGGCTGAGAAGCCAAGAGCAGTGGCACTGGGTTTTGATGCTACTGCATGTATTGGCTTTGTGGGAGCCTAGTCTGTTTGGATGCTCACCTTCTTAGACCTGGATGGAGGGGGAGGACCTTGGACTTCCCACAGGGCAGGGAACCCTGACTGCTCTTTGGACTGGAGAGGGAGGGGGAAGGAGATGGGGGGGGGATGAGGAGAAAGGGAGGGAAATGGGAGGAGGGGAGGAGGTGGAAATTTTTAAGTAAAAAAAAAAAACCTCCCTGGGCAGTGGTAACACACACCTTTAATCCCAGCACGCAGAAGACAGAAGCAGGCAGATCTCTGTAAATTCAAGGCCAGCCTGGTTTACAGAGTGAGTTTCAGGATAGCCAGAACTATACAGAGAAACCCTGTCTTGAAAAACAAAAACAAAAAAATGTGGAAAAGACTAAAATGTTAACATATGTGTTTGTTAGGGTTTCTGTTGCTGTGAAGAGACACCATGACCACAGCAACTCCTATAAAGGAAACATTTAATTGAGGTAGTGACTCACAGTTCAGAGGTTTCATCTATTATGATTATGGCAGGACATGTAGCATGCAGGCAGACATGGTGCTAGCTACATCTTGATCAGAAGGCATCAGGAAGTAGTCTGTGACACTAGGAGTAGCTTGAGCATAGGAGAACTCAAAGCCCACTCCCACAGTGACACACTTCCTCCAACAAGGCCACAACTACTTCAGCAAGGCCATACCTCCTAATAGTACTACTACCTTGGGGGACCATTTTCTCTTGAACCACCACATTCTGCATCCTATAAGATTATGGGAACCAGTTACATTCAAATTACCATAGCATAGATGTTTATACATAGAAATCACTTAAAATTTGGCCATCATTACCACTGTAAAGCTTTCAGGCTAGGTATTGTGGCTCAAATCTGTAATTTCAGCACTCTGGAGGCAGGATTGTTACAAATTCAAGGTCATCCTAGGCTACATAGCAAATTCAGACAAGGCAGGACTGCATTCACAATGAGATATTATTTCAAAACAAGGACAAAAACACTAACAGCAACAAAACATCATGGACATTTGTTAGTTTAATGACTTCCTGTTATGTAGATGGATATGTAACATGCAGTACCTATCATGGTCATTGAACATACATGCACCTGAACTTGTTATAGAGCTTCTTAGAAAAAAGAATGGGGCTTGGCTGGGGCAGCTGTCTGTCATGTACAAACTCCTGGGTGCAATCTCAGAACCACACACGAAGATAAACACAAGTCAGCAGCAGAACTTAAATACAGAGGCAAAAACTGAATATGACTGATATCATTGAGTTTGGGTTAGCCTTGTAGCAAAAGAAGGCATAGTTCTATTTACAAAGGAACTCCAAGGAGAAAGTGTACAAGCACACATATAAGCACGTACAGGCACACCGGCTTGTGTGCAGAAAGGTGGCATAGATACTTTAGCAATATGCCAAAGGGAAAAGTTCTCTGAACAATCTGAGATTTGTCTTGAGTAACAGAAGTGTCTTTTGTTCAAGAGCATTTTCTTATCATGCAGTGACGCTGTCATTAGTCTCTTCACCCTCAGTAGGGAGACATGATCAAAAACCTCCAAATGTTCCCAAGACTCTTTCTTCACTACCGATCTTTACTTGTTTAAGACAAGTTATTCTGTGCAATCATCCACTTAAAATGTCTGGTTTTCCATGCTAGACTATACTCTCACTCTAATATGAACACCATTTATTTAAATAGTTTCAGCCATGCAAATGTTTGTTACAATATGCAAGAGCTAGGATGTAGCTCAGTGGTCAGCATGCTTGTGTGACATTTGGCAGGCTTTAGGCTCAGTCCCAGCCCTTAGACACAAGAGGTGTTTGCTGAGCACATGAAAGTATAGATAAAGCAGTGAGCGTTCTTGTGATTTCTCTCTCCCAGGCTCTGTCAGAATCCTCCCAAATACTGTCCACATGCTGTTCTATACATCGTTGTCCTATTCAGACTGTTTCTTGGTGCTCAAACATTTCCCCCTGTGTTATAAGCTCCTGGAAAGCTCTATCTAGATTCTTTTTTTATCTTTGTGTTTCCTATAATACATTGACTTATACAAAATTGATTACACATGCTAAGTAAATGGCATGATATAGAATAGTATTTAATATGTTAATATTGACTATAACAAATATAATGTCTTCTCTCACTGGACAGTGGTGGTGGCAGTGGCACATGCCTTTAATCCCAGCACTCAAGAGGCACAGGCAGGAGGATCTCTGTGAGTTCGAGGCCAGCCTACTCTTCAGAGTGAGTTCAATGACAGCCAGGTCTATATAGAGAAACCCTGTCTCCAAGAAAAAAAAAACTATTCTCTTCTTGATTTTCACTATTACTAAAACTTTGTTAATCAAGTGTGCCTGCCACCTTTTTCGTCATTCTGTCCCTAAATGGGTAAGTTTTAACAGGCCTCTGTTTTACTCCATTTTTCCTTTTTCTTTTTTCCTATTCTATTTCTTTTTTGAAATTTTATCTTTTCACTTTAAAATATACTCTCTGCTTTGTATTGCTCCTGCTTCTTGCTCCTTCTTAAAATTTCTAATGTTTCTTACAACCTGGTTTCTTATGTCACCTACTTTTTCTGTTTTTGTCCTCCTTGGCCCTTCCACCTCCTGCCCTTAAGATTCGGGGCAGGATTAGATGGGGTGGAGCCCAGCTGAAACAGGGGTGGAGCTACTTGTTATGAGCCTGGCTGAGAAGGGCCTGGACTGGAGAGTTGCTGGGACTGAAGTCCTTATGGACCTTCCACTGGAGATTGGCCATCCGGAAGGCAGATGGGACCCTGTAAGGTCAAAACTGGTCGTCCTCCCCTGCTTTTTGCTCCTTTCTTCCAGTCTGTTCCATGTCTTATTCACAGTGGCTTTCTCCATACTAATAACCTTTTCCCTCGTCATCATTTCCTCCTTGTCTCTCTTCAACTTTGTCAGTCAGCTTCAGTTAGCATTCTCTTCCTGCCATCTGTTTGTCCTCCCTTAGACCTTAGCCTTTCCTCTCTCTTTGTCATCTTGTTCTTGTAGTTTTTTCAACTTTGCTTTCGCAGTCAGTCACTTCCCGTTCATTGCTCTGTTTCCTTTAAAATTTTACTGTTTAAGGAGTTGGGTTGGGAGCAACAAGGTCCTGCCTTCCCACAGGTCTGCTCAGATTTCACTCCTTCCCAGACCTGGAGTGGATTTGAGGGTCTGTTAATAAACACTGGAACGGAAGTCAGGTTGAACATTAAATGTAGGATATTAACACCTCTCTCTCTCTCTCTCTCTCTCTCCTCTCTCTTGTTTAGTTTTTTCCTGCAATACAGTGGATACAGTTTGTCACAGCTACTCTGAGGTATGTTTTTTGAGTCTCATATCACATGACTTGGCAGACTAGAGAGCTGTGCAGCTTTCTATGTCTAGCTCCTGAGGGTTCCATTTGACTTTTTAGTTAGAAATTCTTTCCTATGTTGATATTTTCTCACTAGTAAAAGGTCCAGGGGCTAGGAAGATGGCTTAGTAGATAAAGTTCTTGCTTCCTAAGCATGAGAAGCTGAGTTGGAATCCCCAGCACTCTCATGAAAAGCCAGCTGTGTGTTACCTGCCTGTTGTCTCAGACGCGAGAGACAGAGACAGAAGCTCTTGGGGGGCTGCTGGCTAGCTGATCCAGCAGAATCTGGGAGCTCCAGGTTCAGTGAGAGAGCATGTCTCAAAAAATAAGGTGGAGAGTGATAGAGGAATACACTGACATTGACCTCTGGCTGCCCTCCTCTGCTGGGTCACCACACCTACTCCTATTCCCAGTGGAAGCAAGAATTGGAGTAACAGGAAGGAGGGAGGCCACTCATCTGAAGTGAGTGGGCAGCCTGTCAGCAGGACGGGTGCAGACCAGCATCAGCACACACCTCAGCACTGCATGTGTTAAATGCTGTGAGGAAAGTGAACATCTAAGCCCAGCACTTAGGGGACTGAGGCAGGAGGATCACTGTGAATTTGAGGCCAGCCTGGTGTACAGAGTGGGTTCCAGGCCATCAGAGGCTACCTAGTGAGAGAAATTGGAATGATAATGAAAAGATTGGCATGCATCTAGACAAGGAGAACATGAAAATTCATGAAATACTCTAAATTTAAAAATATGTGTGGTATATTTTATATCAGTTATGCAAATAAATAATAAAACCAGAGTCTTATCACTGTATTGTAATAGCCAATTGTCTGTGTCTCTCAGTGTTATAGGTTCAAGTTCGCTTATCACTTATGCTGTGTTCCAGAACCCACAGATGTCTGCAGAGGTAAGCGTGTCTTTCCATTAAGTTTGAACTGCTGGTGATTTAGCCTCTAAAGTAAGTGCCAGGAAAGCACCAACTGTGCACAGTGGAGAATTCTGTGATTTACTAATACGTCCCTAATTATAATAGATGGGCAGTCCTCTGGCCAGGACTGCAAGCTGTACCTTCAGTTTCTAGAGATTAACTATTAAGTGTGACCCTCTTTGTACTGTAAATTGTTAAGGTTAAGGAAGCTGCTGTCTGAAGCCTGGGGCCTGTCTTGATGCTAAGTGTGGTAAGGCTCTCCCTCCAGGTGAGCAGCTTTCTTTCTTTTTCTTTTCCTTTTCCTTTTCTATGATTCTTTTTTTTTCTTTTTTTTTTTTTCAAGATAGGGTCTCTCTATATAGCCCTACATGTCCTGGAGCTCACTCTATAAACCAGGCTGTCCTCAAGCTCAGAGCCACCTGCCTCTGCCTCCCCAGTGCTGGGATTAAAGGTGTACACCACCACGGCCAGGTTAGGTGAGCTTTCTGATCATGACTTGTGAGAACACTGGAGTGGCCAAGAGGCAGTTCCAAGTCTTGTTTGCTTGAAACATACTTATTTGCTGGTCCCATCTTCCTCAGCAATTATAGTTTCATTTTGAAAAAAAAAATACATCCTTTATAAAAATAATCACACCAAAATGTTCAAGTTTAAGACCTTCCTGCTGGACACAGTGAGACTCTATCTCAGAATAAGACACATACATGCCAACATGTGCGCTGGTGCCTACCCCCTCCCCCCACTGCACTCATGAAGTGCTAGCAAGAAGTGGTCTACTTGCCAGCTCAATAAAGACTTTAAAGGACAGGGAGAAATTATTGCTGTAATCAGACTGAATGGCTCAGAATTAGCCACAGTGTGGTTTAATGTGTATGCTGGAGAGCTGTTGGATCTGGAAAACCATCAAGATTGTGGTTTGGCACAGTTCACACTTGAGGAAACTGCAGAGGCCCAAGATTAAGTTACACACCAAGTAGCAGAGCCAGGCTTTTCAGAAGACCAAGTCTCTCCGAAGTGAGCAAATACAATATTTTTTTATACTCTAGGTATATTCTCTCGGTGCTTTAAACCCTAAATATTTCTTTGATAATCTTGTTATGAATCCCAGGTAGTCTTGCTGTAGTCCAGGTAGCTTCAGATTCTTGGTTCTCTGCCTATGTCTGCTGAGCACCATGATCACCAGCCTGTTCTGGTGCACGTGGTTAATACATGTTTCAGATTGTAAGTCAGCTTGTTAAGTTCCACAGGGAAATCAGTAGAGAATAAGATGCATTTAATTTATACATCCATTTAGAGAGAACTGCCATTTTATAGTATCTTACATCCATGATTACTACATATTTCTTAGATTTTCTCTGCTGTATCTTAATAAACATATTTCTTCTGTATAATAATCAGAAAAGAACTGGGTGTGGTGGTGCATGCCTTTAATCCCTGCACTCAGGAGGCAGAGGCAGGTGGAAGCCAGCCTGGTCTACAGAGTAAGATCCTGTCTCAAAAATTAACTAAATAATAAAATAGAGTGGAAAAAAAGTAATTGGAACCATGGAGGCACAAAGATACCAAAACATAAGCAGTCAGGGGCTCAGTGAATAAGAGCACATGCAAGAATGAAGCCTTGAGTTCAGATCCTAGCACTCAGGTAAAGGGTGTGCTTGGCCATGTGCATGGCTGTGCACAATGCTGTGTAGGTGGAGACGAGGACCACTGGAGTTGCTGGCTATCAGTCTTTCATAGATTCAGTGGAAGACCCTGTCTCAGAGGAACATGGAGAGTGGTAGAGCAGCCCTCCTCTGTCTTCATGTCCATGCACAGAGCACATCTAATACATGCCACACTCACACAGATACGTACAAAACCAAGAAAATATGGAGACTTCATCAGTATAGTCAGAAGGCAGAAGAAAGCACATCGATCATACTGGATTTCTCTCACTTTTAAGTCCTTGACTACATGTGTAAACACGTAGCTCATGACATCATTTTCTAACTTTAGAATATGTCGGCTGTGTATCCTTAGTGCTTTTGCTACAGCTCTACTGTAAATCTTTCATCTCTCCATTCTAGCTTTGGCCCCTGTGGCTGAGGAAGGAGTGTCCCTCTGAGTGAGAGTGCTGAGCTATTCACAATCTCTCTTACTCCAGGACTTTGAAGATCTGGTTAGAGATCCCTTCCTATCGGGAATCTTTCTTTACATTATCAATAGACAAACAGTTGCAGAGGGCTTGGCACCAATTTTCAACTCAAAGCATAAAACATAAAGGTAACTTATATTTTTTTCCTAGCTACATCACTTACTGAATCAAGATTTTGTGATTTTTGACAGATAAAACCACTCTTTTATCTGAGCTTTTCTGACCTGTTCCTGGGAATTTGCTGGCTTATAAAAGCACTTCTCTATGGAACTTCAGCACCCTACAAGGACAGCATCTGCTATAACCTACAGACAGTCGGAGAGGTGAGCATTCTTAGACTCCACCAACATTGTGCAAGGATGGTGGATTCAGATAAGTACCATTCAGATCAGAGATGATCCATTATGGAAATACAGACACATCATCCACTGTTACACTTTGATAGGTAGCACAAATAATAAAAACCCAGAGAAAGATGATTGGGGTTTAACCAATCATCAGAAAAAGCAAAGCAGCCAAACCAAAGAGAGGTAGATAGTTCCTACCTCTGAGAAATCCTCTAACTGAAAAGAGAGCAAGTTTCTGCCTCATCCTGCCTTATATTCCTCTCTAGTGCTGGAATTAAAGGCACGTGACTCCCTAGTACTGGGATTAAAGGTGTGAGCCACCACCACCTGGATCTGTTTCTGCATTGATCTTGTGTAGCTCAGGGTAGCTTTGAAATCACAGAGCTCCATCTGCCTCTGTCTCTCAAATCTTGTGATTAAATCTGTGTACCACCATTGCCTGTCCTCTAGTGCCTTAGTTTTACATTCTGGTCTTCAGGAAAGCTTTATTTATAAAACATAAATAAAGTAGCTGGGCGGTGGTGGTGCACGCCTGTAATCCCAGCACCGGGAGGCAGAGGTAGGCGGATCTCTGTGAGTTCGAGGCCAGCCAGGTCTACAAAGGGAGTTCCAGGACAGGCTCCAAAGCTACAGAGAAACCCTGTCTCAAAAAACCAAAATAAATAAAATATCACTATATTAGCCGGGCGGTGGTGGCACATGCCTTTAATCCCAGCACTCGGGAGGCAGAGGCAGGTGGATCTCTGTGAGTTCGAGGCCAGCCTGGTCTACAAGAGCTAGTTCCAGGACAGGAACCAAAAGCTATGGAGAAACCCTATCTCGAAAATCCAAAAAAAAAAAAAAATCACTATATTTCCACTTTTTCTCTAAAATAAAAAGGCTATAACTAATATAAGAAAAACTATATATAGTAGGTACAATAATTATATACAATATATACAGGCAATAAATACATTAACAATGGCATTTGACAAATTTAGAGAAAATACTCCATATCTATCCTATCTTGGTGAGTCCAAAACCTTGTACCTAATTTACTTTGTATCATAACTTGCATTATCGTCCAAAATTATCTTTTGATATCTTTCAATTTTATATACTTTATATTTCTTTAGCAAATTTCTTTTCTGAGATTCATAAACAATTAAAACTATAACTAAAACTATCTAGTCTTCAACTCCCTCAGAGACTCAAGAAGCAAATAATATTAAATGAGTAAGCAGGAAGTGTAAGCAAGAGACTTCTAAAAAATGTGAGCAATGACAGAAACATCTGGCTGCCTGAACAGTCACCCAGTGTTCCTCTGCAATGTTGGGGCATCCATCTTTGGCCTATAGGCCTAGAATATCTGAAAGACTTTTCTTTTTTTTTAAAAAAATTTATTTTTATTTTTTATTTTTTTTGGTTTTTTGAGACAGGGTTTCTCTGTAGCATTGGAGCCTGTCCTGGAACTAGCTCTTGTAGACCAGGCTGGCCTCGAACTCACAGAGATCCGCCTGCCTCTGCCTCCCGAGTGCTGGGATTAAAGGCGTGCGCCACCACCGCCCGGCCTGAAAGACTTTTCTATGAAGCAGGGTTTTTGAAGGACCAGCTTGTCTGAGCAAGGGTTGGCAGTCACTCTTCTTTTGTGTTCTGCTTGTCCCATTAGGACAGCATCTGTCAGCAATTGAGGAAAGCACATTTTTCTTGCCCAGTGACTTACTTTTGTCACAAAGAAAGTAAATTCCATGTGGTGTTTCTTCAATGTCCATCATCTTCTCTGAAGTAGATTGGTGCTGCCAGGATCAGACATGTCTCATTGTCTCAAAAAAAGAAAAAATAATCAATGTTATTAAAATATCTTAAATGCCATATTCTGTATATCTGTGAAGTAGTTGAAGATGACCTGTCTATTTAATATATTTCTTTGTTTGACCTTGAAAGCATACTTAGTATGACTTCAAGTTTGATTGTAACCAGTGACTAATTGCTAACCTACATTTCTTATTATTCTAAATAGTTGGTAATAATAACTTCCAAGGACTAGAAAATTGCATTACATTGTTAAATGAGCTCTATAGGTATAATACCTTGAATTAGAAACGTATGTGCAGTCTGTTTTAACAAAATTAATCTCAAATTTCTATCAATATACAAAATTAGTATACAGTATATCAAGTTCAATCCAATATAAAACATTTAAAACTAGTAGTTGCTTTCTAAAAGTAGATTCAATGATCCGTCTTTTTATCTTATCTATATTACCCATTTTTTCTTTTTTTTTTCTTTTTTTTTTTTTTTTTTTTTGATTTTTCGAGACAGGGTTTCTCCGTAGCTTTTTGGTTCCTGTCCTGGAACTAGCTCTTGTAGACCAGGCTGGCCTCGAACTCACAGAGATCCGCCTGCCTCTGCCTCCCGAGTGCTGGGATTAAAGGCGTGCACCACCACCGCCCGGCCCATTTTTTCTTTTCAAAGTAGATTCTACCCTTTTATTCTATCATATCTGTATCTTGTTTTTCTTTTCAAAACAAGAACTCTGCATCTAATCTCCTTTGTTCAAATTTCCTCCTGATCATAAACAATAATAACAATAACAACTGGTAACCAACCCCCCTAAACAGTGACAAATATTCATAATCCAATGAATGACCAAAAACCACCCACCCCACCTCTTGGGAATGTGGGTGCCATATTCTTAAATTTACTTCCTGCTGTCTGGGGGTGGCAGCATCTTTAGGGGATCCTGAAAATTTTTGGTTAATTGTAAAATTCTAAGAGAGATAGCTTTATTATTTGTTCTCCAGTCTCTGCATAATGCGAAAGTGCAGGGCTTGCCTAGTCCTGGCTAGAGTAGTCTGTTAATCTCGATCATTTTAGCTAGCCATCTTGAAATTGTTCTGACCAGTTTGTATTCCAGAAGCTGATCTTTAGGTGCTGTTTTTCAGCTTAGTGGTGTTAACATACTCCTAGAGGAGTCAAAGGTCATGGTTAGGCATGCTCATGGTTCAATGTAGAAAACTGATAGAGACTGAAACCCAAAATAATCATGTACAGGAAGGTAGATGAAATCTTTTTCTAGAATTAGGTAGTATTCTATATGACCATTAATGTCATAACACACACACACACACACACACACACACACACACATATATTATAATCTTATACCTTAAGAAAAGCTGTTAAAGAGTCAATATAAAACCAAAGGATTATGAGATTAGTAGCAATAAAAAAGTCCTTAAAATTTTGCTTTTCTTCTGTCCCATATCAGGTGGCTCTTCTGATATGAGATGGAGATTTTGGATTTCACTTTAATAAAGCATACTTGGTTTTAGAGAAGGAGAGAGCCATAATTCAACTCCAAAGCCAGCTTTAATCTTTAACTGGACTGAGACTACAAAAGACCGTTTGTATATATGTCTGTAGAGAATAGCAGAAACAAACATTTGGGAAGATTTACAAAGTTTTATCCTGTTAGAAATGTGATATACCAATAGGCCAACTTACTCTTTTTCTTGAAACAGTTCTTGATGATTTGTCCCTTTTCTTCAGATGTCTGGTTTGTCCAGTAGTCTTCAGATTCCTTAGCTGGATACCTTTATTCTCTTGAAAAGACAAAAAACGGGGGCTGGAGAGATGGCTCAGAGGTTAAAACCACTGGCTGTTCTTCCAGAGGTCCTAAATTCAATCCCCAGCAACCACATGGTGTCTCATAACTATCTGTAATGGGGTCTGATGCCCTCTTCTGGTGGGTGTGTATATACATAATTATTTTTTTCTTCTTTTTTTCTAGTATATATATAATTAATAAAGAAATCTTTAAAAAAAAAGACAGAAAACAAAACCCTTCCCCAGCCCTAACTTTGGGGAGATTCTCTTTCAGCGAGTTATATCTGATAAAATGAAAACCATTTGTTAGTTTTATAGGATAGTACAGATTAAAAGGCCAAGATGTTTGATGAACTATCATCTCTTCTACTTAAGCAGTGTCTCTTGTTCAAATCAAATGTTTATGTTTGGTGGTATCCATAACTTTTTTTCTCTTATAAAAACTAAAGTAAAACCCCTTTGCCAACATACACATGTCCTGGTTTCCATTCTGAGGTCAATACATCTTTCAAGTATAATGGATGATTTAATTCTGTAGTTTTTTCTACTATCCAATGTCTCTCTGCAGCTGTTGTTCCTTTCTCATTAGCAGTTAGAAAATTCAAAGGTAACAAAGTATTGTGCAATCTATTTCTGGGGTCTTCATCATCCCTTTCTGTTTGACATATCCTTTAGGGTTTGATTTGGTCTTTCTAAAACTGCCTACTCTATAGTATTGTGTGTTATAGATGTAATGTGCTTTATATTATAATAAGCAAAATACTGATTCATTTTCTTAAAGACATATGCTGGAGCATTGTCTGTCTTTATTTGTACAGGTATACTCATGATGACCATAACGTCTAGCAAATACTGAATTAGCCTTTTCCAAACTCAAAGCAGTTGCCCATTGAAAACCTAAATTGATATCAATGTTGTAGTATACATATTTTTGTTTTCCAAATTCTACAAAATGGAATACATCCATCTGTCAGATTTTATTTCTCTGAGTACCCTTTGGGTTACTTCCTGCAGGGTGTGGTGTTTGGTTGTATAAAGAACAAATAGGACATTTTGTTATAATTTCCTTGTCGTGTTGCCATGTAATGGAGAAGTCTTTTTTAAAAAAAAAAACCTTTGCTGTTGACATGATGTTTTTATGAAATTCTGAGGCCTTCAGCACATTTCCAATCAATAATTGATTAATTTCTGCATTACCTTGTGCTAGAGGACCTGGCAGACCCGTATGGGATCGGATATGGGTTGATGCCTATTCCTGATTATATCTTGTACCTGAATGAATAATGAAGTCAATTCTGTATCACCTGGTATAAATTCAGCAGTCTCAATATGCTAAACAACTCTTTCTTCATATTGCAAATCAGTAACTATGTTGAGAGATTCTTTAA